TTTTATCAGGCTATAGCACTGACCTCTTAAGTATTGCCTTATAGAGAGCATGTATGTATTTATGGACCACACTCTGAACTGCAGCTGCACATGCAATGTGCTGGAAGTCAGAGGGGACAGGGGAGGAGAGGATACTGTTCCCTGCCTGTGTCCCTGCTGCTGCCTTTCCGGGGACCAGAGAAGGCAGCTGGAAGAACTGTGCCATGCCGTGTTAGCATGCTGGGGGAGGTGTGGTGTTGGATGGAGTGCTGACTCTCCAGCTGTCTGTGTTGTCTGCAGTACCCTATGTATTACGCACCTCTACCCTTGCCTTCTGTGTGCTGTATGGAAACGGAGACCCCGACTGCAGAGGATATACAGCTACTGAAGAAAACAGTGGAGACGGAGGCCGTGCAGGTGCGTAGGTGACTTCAGGTCCTTTCACAGTTGATCCTAGTCCAGCCAGGACATCAGCATAGCCAGAGCTGGCTCTTTCCAAATGTTCTGAAGGTAAATGCCACTACTCTCACCCCTCATCATTAAGAGATCAACCTGTAGTCTGAAGAGTGGAGTTTATCTAACCTTCTCACTCTCGAAAAAGCGCCAGTGGGACTTTCTTGTGTCCTTTTGGTCTATGTTTGGCTGTCAGCCTGTTCTGAAGCGTGCTGCAGTGCCACTCAGCATAACCTAGAGCAGCTGGAGTCAGAGGCTGAAGGCATGAAGGGGTTTGCTACTGATTCATGACTCCTTTGATTTGTTTGTAGATGCTGAAAGACATTAAGAAGGACAAAGTTTTGCTGCGCCGGAAGTCTGAGCTTCCGCAGGACGTCTACACTATAAAAGCCTTGGAGGCCCACAAGAGAGCAGAAGAGTTTCTCACCTCAAGCCAGGAGGCTCTCTGACGGGCTCAGGAGCTGGCCCAGGAAGCTCTGCCCCATCCCTTTCCTCCAGGGGTCATGGAAATGCACTCGGTTCTCATGTATAAGTAAGGAATGAACATGGTGAGCTGTGCCTGTCCTCCACTCCATCTGCATACCTCCAGGGTAGATCTGATTTTATGTTATAACTTGTATCTCACCACTGTCGTGTCCTCCTGCTTTTTCTCCATCCTCCTGCTTTCCCACCTGGCTCTGCAGGCATTAGGGGAGCGTGTCTGACCTCTGCTTTTTATCAGTCCAGGCAGGACTCACTTCACTGTGAGCTGTCGCCTGATTCTTACTCTGCCAGGAAGCCAGAGCCTTGCTCAGGCTCTGTGTTGGGCAGAGCCTTCCATGCATGGCTCAGTGTGCTGCTCCAAACTCCAAGTGCCCATCTCTGCCCCTGTGCTGCCTGTGCAGCTGAGCCCTGGCATGGTCAGAGGCCAGGCTGAGCTTGGGGCAGAAGCAGAGTTTGTGAAGGCTCTGCTGCCTCTCCAGCCTGCCTTGGGGTGCAGTTCCATAGTTGAAGGGTCTTAATGTACAGCAGAGGAAATGTTTACTTCCACTTTTCTTTTGCTACAAGCTCCTTGTTTTGTTCCCCTGTCAGTGGAGTGGGGGTTCAGTGCTTTGCCACCCCCAGTTAAGCTGGGTGCAAGCACTACATACTATTGCAGTCCTCCCTTTAGAGCATCCTTAGAAGCTCTCTTGTGAGAAAGTGAATTACTTCTGCTGTTTGTGTTGGTCCTTGCTGACTCATTTCCTTCCCAATGTCTCGGGTTAATTGTGGGCCCAGAATTAACTTCCCGCTTTGTAGCAGGTGTCAGCCACTGACTTCCACCTTCTTCCTCTACCTGCTCAATTAAAATACTCCTGCAGCTCTCCCTTTGTCTCTGTATCCCATCCTTAGCTCTTCAGGGCCAGGGTTTCTAGGAAGCTTGTGCTGCTAGTCATTTCCGCAAGCCAGTGGAAGCAATGGCTACACCTCATAGGGTGTGGCTGAGTTTGAGTGTTCAGTTGTCTTTCTCATTATTATCAATGGCTAAGCACTACTGCTGAATCGCTTCCGTGGGTGCTCTGAGCAAAGTTCACCTGTCCTGTTACGTGTGCACCTGCTGTGGCCCGAGGCCCTTGTTAGATATCACATGGTGCATCGGGGTGCTAACTTAGCATTTAGAAACACTTGCTGATAGCCCAGGGGCTTGCGCAGCACTTGGGTGCTACTGTGATCCAGCTTTCACCCCTGTTGTTTGTGGTGCAGATTTAGTGCCAGGCCAAGGTGCCACCTCAGAGGCTGGTTCGTCATAGAGAGGGAGTCCTTGCTTCTTACCTGCTGCACCTGCTTTCTTGACACATAAGCTTAAGTGGGTTTGTAGCAGTGCAGGGAGCCTGCGGGGTTGGGGCTGGCCTGACACTGCTTTGCAATGGCACGGGATGTTGTAGAAGGTTCTGGTGTATCTGCCTGTCCTCACCAGTAAACCATTTCCAGGTCAGAGGATCACGCCCTCTAATCTTTCTGCTGGTGTGCAGCACATCTTTCCTCCAACCCCAGCGAGGCTGTTTTGACCTGTGTATCCTGCATTCCTGCCCCGTGTAGCTCTCTCCCAGCTCAGCCCTTATCAGGAATGCCACCATCTCTTGGGAGGAGCTGGCAGGTGCATGTGTGAGATCCCCCCAGTCACGCAGGGCCCCACCTCCCCTCCGCCTCACACAACGGGCCAGTTCATCAGGAGACTTCCGAAACACCTCAGGGAGGTTATTGCTTATTTTGAACATTAGTCTGAGCTCATGATCAGCTGCCAATCAATTACCTCACGCCTGGCACAGCATGTGGACATGCACCGGGTGGTGCCAGAGCAGCACAGCGGAAATGAAGGCTGCCAGGCTCAGGCTGGGCAGGAGGCTCCTTCCTGTTTCAGCACAGGCTCTCCAACTGGCTGCTTGCATTGCGCTGTAAGCCAAGACCTCATTTTTAGATTGCTACAGCATGGTGTGCCCTCACTTGAGCCTGCTTGCTGCTGCGCAGTGGCTGCCTTTCCCCGCTGTGGGCTGCTCTGCCTGTGGAGGGAACAGAATCTTGTGGTGTGCAGGGGCTGGCACTGTCCTGCAGATGATCTGTCTCTGCTGGCAGCCGCTGACCCTGGCCAGAGGAATGCTGCTGGGGTTGTGCCATGTGCAGGGGCAGGATTGTAACACATCATGATTATGTGCTGTACAGCTTTGATGTTCCCATAGCTTTTTGTGTCTTGTTTTGGGTCAGGGAACTTAGGCTTAGTACCTTCACATCATCCTTTTTTTGCTGCCTATTCATTCCAGTGTCCTGGACACCTCAGAAGGGGACCATGTGAGACAAGGGGGAGTGTGCTCACCCTCTCACTACATGTACTGCTCATAGGCAGACTTGAATCTGCCATGCTACGGCTGCCCCTTGCTCAATACTTGGTTTCTAGCATTAGTGCTGCTCATTTCTGCCTATGCCTTTCCCCACATCAGCCAAATGGACAGAACTGGAGCTGCCTCTTCCACTCCACCTGGCTTGCTCCTCCCAAGGGAAAAAGCAAAACTACTGCATTCACACCCTGGACACAAGTATTAAGCTGCTTACAGTTCATATGTACATATGGTGTACTTTATTTTCAGTAGAGCATTACATAGTATGAAAGTGTTGGATTTTGTACAGATGTCCCTGTATGTACAGAACTAAATAAAACCAATCTCTTGGAATGACACATCTTGCTCCACCTGTGATATTCCAACACACAGACCCTATCCTGAGAGGAGGGGCCCTAGCCTGGAGAGTGACTTCTCTGCTACTGTCAGCATGGGGCCAAGTCCATGGGCAAAGCCAGCCAAGCCCCATCGCCCCATATGCATCCAGGCATGGCAAGCAATCTTCCTCAGAGGTAGAGGAAGCCAGCACATTGACTTATTCACCAGCCAGAACCCAGAAAAAGGAGGGGGAAGGAAAATCAAACAATGTCAGTGGGACAAACTGGAAGGTTGATACTGGCAAGTCCTGTCAGCACCTGGCTTAGAGGCAGTGGGTGCTTCCAGGGTGGAGGGAGGGCTGGGGTTGGCAGCCCCTGTGCCACAGCCCAGCGCTCAATTCCACTGAGGCCGGGGGCCGCCGAGGCTCTGCCGGGCCTGCAGCGTGCGCTGCACCACATCCTTCCACTGCTCCTCCGAGATCTGGCTAGCCCAGGCTGGGATGCCCAGAGTGGGCAGCTTCACGCTGGCCATCGTCCTCTTCACCAGCTCCACATGCTCTGGGAACAGAGAGGCCGTGAGACCGCGGCAGAGCTCCAAGAGCGTCCTGCCGGAGACGCGGTTACCTGCATCCATGGGGATGGAGCTGTGGCTGCTCTGAGCCGTGGCGCCCTCCGCTGCTTCCCCCTCATTCTCCTCCTCGCTGTCCACCGGCGGGTCGGGCAGGTGCAGCCTCAGCATCTGCGGAGAAAGGCGGGCAGCGGGGGTCGGGGCCGCGGGTGCCCCCAGCCCCGGCCCGGCGGGAGGCGCTGGGCGGTACCTGCAGCCGCTCCTGCAGGCCGGGACCCGCGTCGCCGAGGCCCTGCTCCGGTTCCTGGCTCAGCGGCTGATACAAGTACCCGCCGCCTTCCTCCTCTTCCTCCTCCTCCTCCTCCTCATCGCCGCTCCACCCCGCTGCGCCGTCAGGGCCCTCCGGCGGCCCGGGCTCCCGGGGACAGACGCGCTCGGGGCCCATGCTCCGCACCACCGCCATACACCGGGCGCGGCGCCGAGGAGGTGCCGCCGCCACCTCCCGGAACCTCCGCGGCCGCCGCGGGGCACTGTGGGTGTTGTAGTCCCGAAGCGGGCCCCGGGCGCGGCGGGCGGTGCCGCCGGCACGCACCGCTGATGCTATCGAGTGTCACCACCGAGTGTTGCCATCTCGGTCTGGGCCGGGGCCGGAGCGGCGCGCCGGGGCCGGGCCCGGGCGGGGCGGGGAACCCACGGAGCCGCCCCTGAGGGAGGCCGGGGCCCCGTACCGCGCAAGGGCCTGTCGGGGCCGCGCTACTCCGGCGGTGGGGGGGAGTGCCCACGGACCCGGGCGGGGCCACGCCGCACTACAAGTCCCAGGGAGCGGCGGGAGCTCCCGTCGGAGCGGGGCTGTTGGAGCTCCTTGTACGGGCACAGGTACGGTACTGGGGCTGGGGCCGCAGGGGCGAGGGCAGCCGGCGGGGCCGTGCCGCGGCTGGGGGAGGGCGAGGCCGGTAGGCACCGCCGAGCCCCTCCGTGAGGGCCGGGGGCGCGGGGCCGCCGCCCTGCCCGGGTGCCCTCGGCCGGGCCCGCGGGCAGCGGGTGGGCGCGCGGGGCGGCTCAGAGGGGCTCGGGCGGGGAGCGGCGGCCAACGGTGCTGGAGCGTGTCCAGAGCTGGGCAGAGGAGGTGCTGAAGGGTCCAGAGAGTCAGTCCTGTGAGGGGCGGCTGAGAGAGCTGGGGGTCTTCAGCCTGGAGAAAAAGAAGCTCAGGAGAGACCCTGTCACTCTCTACAACTGCCTGAAAGGAGATTGTTGCCAGGTGCGGGCCGGCCTCTTCTCCCAGGTAACAACTGACAGGCAGGTCAAGAGGAAATAGCTTCAAGCTGCACCAGGGAAGGCTTAGATTGGATATTAGAAAAAATTCTTCACGAAAAGGGTGGTTTGGCATTGGAACAGGCTGCTCAGGGAAATGGTCGAACCATCATCACTGGAAGTGTTAAAAAAATCTGTAAATGTGGCACTTTCAGGACATGGGTTAGTGGTGGGCCTGGCAGTGTTGGGTTAATGGCTCGGCTCTGTGATCTTGGTGGTCTTCTCCATCCTTAAAGGATTCTGTGACCCTACACACCCCTATCCTCCCCAATAGGTCTGTGTCAGGGAGGCTGCCCTTCTGCCCTGGCATGACCTCTGCTGCACCTTGTCTCTCCATCCCGTGGGCTCCTGTGGTTTCACACCATTTATTCTTTCACCCAGTTGTGGATGCTGTGGGGCTGCATGCCTGGTTTCCCCAGTCCCATGTGCCAGGCAGAGGAAAGGTTGGCACCTGTGAGCCTGCCCTGTGTGTGGCCAAGCCCAGCAGACCACTCAGCCTGGGGATCAGTGTCACTACAACAGTGGGGCAGAAGAACAAACTGATGTAGCCCTGTGTAAAGCAAGAAATGCCCTGCTGGCTGTCAGCTCAGCTTTCCTGAGCCTGCTTCCCAACCCAAGGGCTGCCCTTGGCGGCAGCCCTTGGAAACAGCTTAACAGGCTGAGACAAATTCCTGATGGGGAAGTAGAGGTCAAGCAGTATCTCCAAAGCTTAGGCACACTCCATAGAGAAGCTGGGGTTTGGGAAGCAAGGTGAAGAATAGAAGCCAGCTCAGTAGGTGCAGAATCTCAGCTAGGCTTTAGGCAGAAGTAAGTCAGCAATGGGCAAAATATTTGGTGAAAAATAAGGAGATGGTGAGGCTGGCTGTAGGGGGGCCACTGGGATAAATTTGTGCCTGAGCAGAGTGGTCTGTGATTCCCGTGGCTAACATGAGCTTCTAGAGCAGGCTCAGTTCATGAGCTCAAGGGCTGTTCTAGCACCATCTAATTTACTGGGGCTGGAATTGCATTGTGAGCATCTGAGCTATTGAATGTGCAAGCTTGCAGTTTCGCACTGCCTTAGCACAAATGCTCCAAGCATTAGATAAATGTCAAGCACAAGTGAAGAAAGCAGGTTGTTCTCATGTTATCTCTAACAGTATGTTGGATGTGCTTGAAATAGAACGGTCTATATGGACTGCTGTGAACTAGCTGGGCTATTTTAAGGGTTACTAAACCTTGTGGCTGGTGTCTTTTGGGAGACGGGACTGAGGCAGCTACACGGTAGGATTTGCTCTCTGGAGCAGCTTTGCAGAGTAGGCTGCTCTTCTTGGGGTGCTGCTGTAAGTCTTGGGGTGACAGAATGAGTCCTTGAAAATCCGGGCCACTTGCTGATGGGTTTCTCCCCCTTGCTTTGAGAATTGGATACAGCAAGGCTACTCTGAGCAGCTTTTAGAAATGGCTCTAGGTTTCCTTTTGTGTGCAGAGAGAAGTGAGAGAACCCAGTGAGCTCCCTTTGAGCAAAGAAGTAGATCAAGGATATATGGGTTTGTTTTAAGATCATCACCTGCCTACTGTACTTGGAGATGCTCAGTAGCTTTCTATCTTGAATGAAGTATTTTCATAACTCATTGTAAGGTTTGAAAATACTAAGCCTAAAGCCAGTAGAACAAAGTGAAAAAATCTGACTAAAACTTGGTTTGTTTTTTTGTTGTTGTTTTGGAGGTGTTTTCTATCTGTGTCACAGTGCTCAAGTCACCACAACAGTTTTGGAAGATATGCTAGTGAGCAATTGAGTGATATTTTTGTTGATCTCAGATGTCCGTATGCTGTGCTGTTAGGCTCTTGTTAGGTGTAAACTGGGGCAGTTGGGATGAAGGTTGTTGCAGGCATTAAGTGCATCCTCAGGCAACAGCACAACCAGAGATATGGGAGTGCTGTCTACAGGTGCTGTATTGGAAGAGCTGAATTAAATCTGATTGTTCCCTGGCTTAGCAGTGAAATGTTTTGTGGCAGAGGAACAATGCACTGTTGTTCTCACTTAATTTCCAGCATCACCAACATCAGGTACTTCACCAGTAAGTGAAGCATGTCCTGATTTTTAGAAATGCACTTATTCCTGGTTAATGACAGGACTTACCAGGCTTTCAAAATTTCTCTGCATCCCCTGTGCTTTACTGTATTTCTGGATAGATCATGGCAGACCAGGGAACTCGGGAGTTGTGAAGATTGCATGGTTGGAAGTAAGAGATCTATTAGTTTTTGGAGAGTGGAAGTGAGGATCTAACATGAGGCAGTGGAAGCAAGTGGTGGCTTGAACAGAAGCTGTGATTCTGTGTGCCTCATCTTGCAGTGCCCTTCCAGTTCTCTAATACAATTTGCCTCTGTCTTATCAATATTTTTGTGTTTTATAATCTACATCACTATTGCTGGTGTCCTAAATGAGAAATCACAGAATGTATTTTGCATAATCTAATATTGTACAGTTGGGGGAAATTGCTAGTAAATTGTATCTAATCAATTTTGTGTTTCCCTGTCTCCTTGGCTGTGTCCTCTGTGATCTGTAAAGAAATCTAAGCTGTAGCTTAATGTCAAATGCACTTCTCCTACTAAGAAAGCCTCATAGGAATGAGACTGAAAAGTGGTTTATTTATGTCCTCATTTATATAATAAAAATTATCATTGGAAATCATACTTGAAATAGAAAAATCAGTGGTTGAGATCAAACTTGAATTCAACTGTGTCCATAGTTGTAGGACAGAAAATATTGTTTTTTCCCAAAATGTGTGTCTAACTCCTATTTGCAGATAGTGCACAGAGGGGGCTTGGAGGTGGAAAACACTTTGGACAGAAGATTGGTCTAAGGAAACGATTGCAAATAAGGCAGGTGAGATGAATCTGGAGCTGGGCAGAGAAAGCATGGGGCAGAGTAAAGGAGGCATCCTCAGGAGACAAGACTGTGCAGGGAGGAGGGGAGGCTAGGCCTGTGTGTGGCTGAAAAGGGGCAGACAAATGCCTGGTGATGGCAGGAAGATGTCATAGTTCCAGAGTAGGGTTGTGGCCAGTGGAAGAAGAGGAAGATGGGAGTTTGCGTGGATGCTTTTATTACAGCGTAGAGAAGAGCACTTGGGTTTGGAAAATCCCCGACAGCTTGTTAAACCCTGTTTTCCCGTGACCCTGTAAAGATTACTTCATGCTTCTGGTCATTCTCTCTTCGTGAAGTGTTCAGATGAGTGTTTGCTTTTCTTGGCTCTGAGGAGGGACGGCAGGAGGCTGTGCTGGCAAAGCTCTGTGTTTGCTCTAAAGGGGTATCCCCAGACAGAGCCAAGGCAAAGTACAGCCAACTTCCATCCCATTGCCCTCACCACCACTCCAAACCTGCCAGTCACCTGGAAGGCACTCATCTGGGGAAAAACTTTCCCAGTAATTGTAGGAAACAGCATTTCAACATTGTTGCTTCAACCTCTGTATCTTTCTTGCAGTGCCAGGGATTGGGCCTGGAGGGGCTGTGGACCACATTTAACCTCTTGGGATGAGGTGCCTTCTGATGGAAATAGCAGAACTGCTGGGGCAGGGTAGCCAGCTCCTGTGGCAGTGATAGGACCAGCATCCTTGCACCTCAAGGGAAGTTCCAAGGATGAGGAAGAGTTTTCCCAGCCTTTCTGACAAAAAAGGCAGGGGCCTTGGTACAATGCCTGCCTGCTGTGCCAAGCAGCTGTGCTCCTCTACCTCAGTAAGAACCAAGCAGAGAACTAGGAAGTAAGATTCATCCTCTTGGTCCTCCTGGACTGGGCTCAGTCTGAAGGGTGTTGAAAATATTGATGCTGGTGATAAAGACCAGTTAAGCTCCTTGAGGATTCTTTTACAGAACAAGAAGAGATTTTTTTTATTTTTTTTTTTAACTTAAACAAGAAGAGATTATGAGGAAAACATGGGTTAGATTTTTCAGTAATAACTTGTGACTGAGGCAGGAAACAGATTTAGATATGTGAAGTCTTCAAAATAGCTTGGAAGGTGACTTTGGTGGGTTCCATGGAAACTCATCCATTCTGTAGCTTTGCAGAGGACTTATGCAAGAGTGCTGCCTGGCTTAAAAAAAAAATAGTTGCTTAAGGGAAAAAAACCTGCTAGATATGAAATTGAAGCATGGTCTGTAGAAGATGGGGGCTGTTCCTGGGCCCTGCTGGAGCAAAGCTTGCTGCAACTTTCTGGATTACTGACTGTAGTTTATGTTAGGGTGGTTGCTGCAGGAACAGGCAGGTTTACAGGAGAGACTCCTGTTACAATAAGGCTGCAGGATGGTCTCTGTTTGGGCTTTGCACATGTCCTGTCACTGTAACATTTATGTACAGAGCGTGAAGACAACTCAAAAAATAAACAACTTTAAAAAGAAGCTACTCAAATTTTTATGACATTTGGAAGTTCTGTAATGAGGTGACTGGTTACTGAATGGTTTTGAACTGTCCATGGACTCAGTGGATGAAGCTGGAAGCCTAAGCTGTGCTTCATGCCAGGAGCTCCCTGTTGGTGGCATCTCTTATTCTTCCACAGGAGGGGATAAAATGTGAGTGTGTGGGTGGGCTGGGTGCTGGGCTGGCCAGGCTGCTGATGGGCCTCGTTGTGAGCAGTGATTCCACTTGACTGAAGGGCTGGGGGTGACCAACTGGAGCAGAGCAGCATGGCACAGCCCCTCTTGCTGCCCTCTAGCTATTTCAGAAACCTGAAACAGGAGGGAAATACTCCTTGCCAAAACTCACTACTTCACAAAATGAAATGGGGCAGAGCGTAGGGATTTAGTCCTTGTTCAAAGGCATCCCCAAATTTCTTTGGATTCTGCAAAGGCTAAAACTGATTGTGGGATGGGAACATGCTGACTGAATCTTTCAATAACCTAGAACCAAGAAATAAAATAAGAGTTTTATTTGTGCTGTCTGAAACACTGACATCTCTTCTAATGGCTGTTTTTCAGCTAGGAGAAAACTGTTAAAAATCAAACTGACCCGCTGTTTCAGGAGCACCCAGGCAGGACTCTGCTCTAGATTCTTAGATTCAAAGGAGAATCTCTGCAAGAATCAGCTGTGGTGACTTCTCTAAGATATGATCTAAGCCATCTGTTTGAGGAATGAAGAATATCAATTGCCTAACAAGATGTGATGCTACAGAATTTTCACAGTTATGCCTGGGTTTGCTGTGGGAGGAAAAGACCTTTTCTGAGCATTAGCAAAGCACTTGCTCCCTAGATTAGAGGGTTTCTGCTCTCTTCTGTCTAATTAGATTGAACCCTAGTGCTCAAGTCAATGAGTCCAAATGCTAATGTTGTCACCCACCCCCATAACAGGAAGCTGGTTTCTTTATGTAGGGGTAGTCCTTTGGAGGTTTTTTGTTGGGTGTTTTGTTTTAATCTTTTCCTCTGCTGTTTCTCAGAACTGGTCCAATGAGCATGCTCTTCCCTCTGGGTTTGTTCTTTTCACCTTCACTGGTGGCTCTCGCTGTGTGTTTTCATTCATGCAGACAAATGACTGTGACGTGTGTGTGGCCAGGCCGAAGGTGTTTGGCTGGGGCTGCCTGTGCAGCCACCCTGGGGGGGTTTTGTGTGCAAGGGCATCTCTGCTTGCTCCTCTGAGCCCTGCTCTGTGTCCCCTTCCCAGGAGGAACCTTTCCAGCTGGGAGGCAGGTGAATGAGGGTACATTAAGGTAACCTTTGTAGCAGGTATTCAGGGAAGATAGGAAGAGGTGCAGGATGGATCTTGTTATTTTGGCATTGTGTCTGTGTTGCAGAGCCAGGTGACGTTGCAGTGGCCTCGGAAGCATGTGGCTGTGGCACTGGGGGCCCTGAAGACCGCCTGGCTTGCAGGGAGGAATGCTACGGTGGGCAGTGCACTTGGAAGGTGGGCCACGGAGGGTGAACCACGCGGCCGTGGCTGTCGGGCACAAGGTCTATTCCTTTGGTGGGTACTGCTCTGGAGAGGACTATGAGACCCTGCGGCAGATCGACGTCCATGTTTTCAACGCAGGTAAAGGTGTCCTTGTGGGGCACAAAGGACTTCCTTGCTGGGCTCAGTTATTGCTCTTCTTGTCTGCTGCTGCTTGGCATGTTATACCCTAATATGTTGTCTGGCTTTTAATTTCCAGGAAACGTTATCAGAGTAGGTAGGAGCCTCTTTCTTTGTGCAGCCTTGCAGTTTCAGCTTCAGGGGCAGAACACAGAGGGGCTGTAGTTCATCTGACTGCTAGGATAAGGACTCACTGAAGTAGTCACATAGTCAGTAGCTTGGTTTGTCCTTGTTCTCTGTGGACACAAACTCAGCCAGGTGCAAAGAAGTGGTATTGAGCTGGCTCAAGTCACCCCTCCAGTTTGCAGCATGTCCATGTTCAGCTGCCCATAGTGTGGAAGGAGAGGTTGTGAACCAGTGCACTCAGTTAAGATTCCAGGTGTAGACATCTGAGCTGTTTCCCTGTGGGGACAGGTGACAACGGGTGCCAGCATGATGGAGTATGTAGGGGCATGTGGCTAGGAGGGAGGCCTTCCCATTTTGGTAACAGCTATCGTGCAGATTCACAACATAGCTTAGAAAAGCATCTGCAACTGGAGCCGTTTGTGTAGGGTAACCAGTACCTGTCATGAGGCTGAGTTGGAGTCATGGCTGTGCTGGCACAGGGTGTATTTCTTGATTTAGTGCTCCTTGAACTGAAGAAGTTACTGAGCTGGTCCATTAAGTATTTCCCTGTAATTAGGCAGGTGATTAAAAAACTGCGCAGATGCTTGGGTGGCTCCAGTTAAACAAATCCAAGAACAGAGAACCAATGACCAGTTTTGGAGACTGGACAGCATGCTGAATGCTCTGCAAACACCCACATGTAGACAAACCTAGTTTGTAAAATGCAGTGAACTCACTCCTTTAAGACTTATGTGCAGCAGGGATAAAAGCATTGGTTGCAGAGGGCTGCCAAGGTGACCTGCTCACAGTGTAGAGGGGGTGTAGCTCAGGATCCTGTGAACATTCCCCTCTGTCCAGAGGGACTGGGCTTTCATAGTCAACACAGCTGAATGTTGTAGAACGTGCCAAGTAGAGCACTCTTCTGGGGAAGCATAATGACTGTGCCCAAAGGAATGCTCTTGTGTTGTCTTTCCCTCTCACCACTCCCAAATATTAAAGTGTCAGAATGCTGCAGCCACCACATGGGAAGTGACAGTAGCTTCCTAAGCCCTTGCTCAACTAGCATTGTCAGGTGGCAGTGCTAAAGTCAAGAATATCAGATTTTGAATGATCTCTTGTCAGTCTTACAAAGATGAAGACTATGTTTTAGGTAGGAAGCATCCAGTCTAGCTTGACTTAAGCATTGGATGTGTTTCCTCAGTGCCCTTTCTGCCTGTGGGATAGATACCCACCTTTTGAGAAGCCTGACTTTCCCCTTTCCCTATGTTAGTATTTCAGAGGAACTGCAGACTGTTTTCTGCTATATTTTGTATCAGCTCCATGTAGAAAACAAACCTGGAGGCTGTATGTGGTACAAGAAGGGTGACAGGTCCTGTTATGTAATGTCTGTATAACACTTGCTGTGACTCTTGCACTGTCATTAAACCCTGTAATACCTGTTGACTGTTCTGGCTGCTGCTGGATATGACACACAGGAAGGGGAACCTGTAATCACAAAGAACTCCTGTTAGTAATGCAAGGTTAGCAGGGAGAACTTTAATACAGATGGAGGTAAACGAGGCAGATGGCCACCTCTATAGCTTGAAAACCAAAACAAAAGCAAACAAGCCCCGTTCCTACAAAGCTGCTTGGTTGCTTTAATTGAACTGTCCTTCTGCAAGTCCAAGTGATGCCTTCAGGTGTTCCCTTGCATATTCCTGTGCTGCCCATTCTTCCAGCTTTGAGTATCTTTAACAATCTCACCAGCTTGAAGGAGTGTCTGCATTCATGGTCACCTCTGTACTTTCTTGTTTTTCTTTCCCTATTTGTTTGTGTGTGTGCTGTATCCTTCACTTACAGTCTAGGATGAGCCAGAGTGGAAACCTTTTCAATGAATTGTTGTAGAACTGAGTCTGTTTTTGTCCTCTGGGCCTCCAGAGCTGTATTTCTTAACTAGCTACTACTCAGGGTCAGACACAGCTTTCTCTTGTTTACTTGACTGCTTCTGCACCCTGTCATGGGGTAGAAAGCACCACGCAGGATGGGTTATGAACTGTGAGCGATTTAGCAGGCTTAGCATTTGACATGGGCTCAAACTTGTGTTTCCAGTGTCTCTGCGCTGGATCAAGTTGCCTCCAGTGTGGACAAACAGCCGGGACCACGTGAGGGAGGTGCCCTACATGAGGTATGGACACTCAGCAGTGCTCATCGATGACACCGTCTACATTTGGGGTGGTCGCAACGACACAGAGGGAGCCTGCAACGTGCTCTATGCTTTCGATGTCAGTAAGTTCCACCTTCTCACTGTTCCTTGTCACAGCTGTTCTTGATCAGACCTCTCTTGCCCCCCACACTGCTCCCCAGCTTGTTTTCTTGTCCCTTGGTGACAGTCTTGAGGAAATGGTGTCACTGTCTCTTTCAGCAGTTTTAGAAGTGGAGTATGGTGGCCATTGTGTGTGCATGCTTAAATCTCTGTAAAAGGCTTTGGGCAGAGATTGCTGTTCTTTTCTAACAATTAAAATGGTTTTAGTTTTTCTATCGGCTTTGTGTGCTCTCTTTGATAATAACTATAATTAAAGTGTTCTCTCTGTGTAATGTAGTATTCCTTTATTGTGGCTGAAAGTTGAAGCAAGAAGGGGCTGGGCTCTTGAGGATTGTGGTCCTTCTTTCTGAAGGCATGAAGGAGAGGGAGGAATAAAGCACAGGACTAGTCCAGGACAGGATGGCAAAATCAGGGGAGACATGAGTCAAGTTAGATAAACCTGAAAAATAAACTCCTTTGGAGCCTTTTGGTAGGCTTTTCCAGAGCACTACTGGAACACCTCTGGAGAAAAGGCACTGCATGGACACAGGTGTCAGGAAAAAAAAGGAATATATCTGGATTCTGGATGCAAGTCCATCTAAATAGTGGCCAGTAACTGTCTTGCTGAACTTGCAAGGAAACTGCTTGCTCTGCTTGGTCAAGGGACCTCTTCTTTACCAGGAAATGTCCTACAGCTTGTGACACAGGGTTTTCCCCTTTCTTCCCCTCCCATATGCAGCTGAGAAGCCACCAGTAAACCTCTGCCTACACAGAGGCTTTGTAGTCGGACCTGCCTAGTCTCCCTGGCAGCTCCAGTGCTTTAGCATTAAGTGAAAATTAACAAAAGGTCCTGCTCCAAACCATCTGCAGCTGTCTGTACACACAGGCCTGCCATTCCTGGAAAGTAAGGCTGGCAGTCACAGCCCTATGTCTGTAATGTAAGCTCCACTGTAGGAGTCATATCAGGCTAAACAAGGTCCTGTCTGAGTGCAGTCTTGTCCCTGCAGTGTTGAGCAGATCACAAATTGAGGTCTTTTCCATCTCATGCTGCACTTGGGTGAGCTGTTGCTGATACAGTGTGTCTGAGTTTGGAAGCAGCCCCAGGGAGAAAAGGAACTCGATAGCCCTGAGCTGTCTCACTAGAGACTCCCCAGGGATTCTGCTGACCTTACAAGACCCTTTGTGTGGTGCCAGATGGAGCATAGGTGGACAGTTGTGTCCGCAGGTCAAGTTCAGGGAAGTCATCCTCATGCTTTGGCTCCAGTGTTACAACTCTCTGAAATAAGCACTGTTCTTGGCAGCCAAGGGCCGTTAGGGAGGGTGGGGGAATGTCTCCTGCAGCCTCGAGGCTTATCTGTGCCTCTCGGAGCTCTTGGGGCAGGTGCCTGTTTGCGCTTGGCACTGAGTTGCTGCTTGGCTCTGTGTTGCTCTGGCATGGAGAACATCTCTGGCAGCATTTTAAGTCATCTTCTAAATCAAGCCAGCCCCTGGAGTGTGCAGGCTAAGGGGCTGAATCTGTCTGGTGCAGGCTCACAGGGAGCATCGTGAAGGGTGGAAAGTGAGGAAGAGGGGATGAGAATGTAACAAGTGGAGCAGATAAGACAGGGAGAGATACACTGCAGAGGTGGAGATATGCACAACAGCTAACATGGAGAGCTTGTGGTTAAGTAATTTCTATCTGGGTTTGAGAGCTGTTTTTCCTCAGTCATGCTCAGTTACTGAGCATCTCCTCTCCATGAGGTCATTGAGCCACTTAGCATTATTGCTTCATTGTAATGGAAAGTGTGAATGCTGTGTTGATAAGTGACTCACAAGTACACTCTGCAAGAGGTTTGGTAAAAGTAACATTGTTCAAGCCTTGCTGTGCTGCTCACACTCAAAATTGTGAGCTCTTTGTCAGGTCTGGCAGTTGGTGGCCATGCCCAGAGGCTGAGGCTTCTGTCACTGTGTCCCTCTGGGGGCTCAGGCAGGTAGCCTCGCCCAAAGCTTGCAGCCTCTCTGGCAGAGCAGGTGCTGTGTGAGAAAATGAGAATGATTTTTGCCTTAGAAATTAAGAACAGTAGTAATAGAACTATCCCACTCCAACACCTACTGTGTTTTCTCAGCATTGCCTCTTGTTTTGTTTCAGACACACACAGGTGGTTCACACCAAAGGTGTCTGGAATGGTCCCAGGGGCAAGAGATGGGCATTCAGCTTGTGTCCTGGCAAAGAGCATGTTTATCTTTGGAGGCTATGAACAGCTGGTGAGTAGTCTCTGTGACTGTTAATTGGTGAGCCCTTGGGCAAGAGGGTGTTGATACCTAGGACACTGATAGGGACAGGACATGGGGGCGTATTTGTTTTCCTAGCCACTATCATTTTGTAACTTAGGAAAGTTATGGCATTAGTACCCAGGTTATGCTAATTGTTTTGTGGAGAAGATAAAAAAAATCCAACACTTTTTATGACTTGCTTTTCCAGTTAACTTTGACAAAACATATTTACCACAAAGAGGTAAAAATATTTTTTTTGTGCATTTCTCAGCCAAATGTAGATACATAAACACAC